TAATCGTTTCTCTCTCATAGAATACATTTCATGTTCTCTTCAACTACATGCCTCTTAACATTAATTAGTTGGGAAACTATACGGCTCTATATGATGGGACCTCTTCCTAATCAGTCAGCATAAGCATTTTATGATTTTTTTCACATTTATCCCCCTTGGTTCAAGAAACTAACAGATGCAATCTGCGTTTTCCAATTCAATTTCATTTCTCATTAAGAATGAAAGTAAATGCAGAAGTTTCTTTCTCAATGTCAATTCGGTTGTGATGAAAATTGTCTTTTCTTAACTTGGTATCTCTAGACATGAATTGGGGATAATAGTAAAAAAGACACAGCACCCGAAACCCAAGATATCATTTTTGCACATGTTTAACATAGCGACTTGTAGCATTTATTGATGTCCATTTGATGGAGATTTCATTTAATACTCACCGTTAGTATGAGCTTATTTTAGGCATAAAAATAAAAATAGATTCTAATCTTTCTTGTCATATTTACTAAGAAATAATCCATTTTATTATTTTGTTATCTTCCCAATTTTATGAGTAATTTTAGGTATAAATAAGATCATTTCTGAGTGCTATAGTCTGGATAATTGGTTTGATATATGAGGTATAATTGGGCTTCCTCTCTACATATTATCCCGTTCTCTCATGCTTCAGCCATGACTGGTGTTGCTCATGAAACTTATTTCTTTGCCTTTTGGTGAGAGAAGAATTTTGTTGTCTGTATGGCAGTGCGAAGCCCAAGGACATAAAACCTTATGCATTCCTTTTCTATTTAGCATGGCTACCTATAGAAAATCAAGAGACTTTGAACAGTGTGTAACTGTATTTGTTGGCACACCTTTCCTCTTGACTCTGCAGAAGATTAGTAATTATTTTACATCTTTGCTGACATTTCTCTATTGTGTTGATAGCAGAAGTATCTGAGGCAGACAGTGAGGAATCAGATATAAGTGGTTCTGATGGGGATGACACTTGTTGGATATCGTGGTTTTGCAATCTTCGTGGGAATGAGTTCTTCTGTGAGGTTGACGATGATTACATCCAAGATGACTTTAACCTCTGCAGTTTAAGCAGTCAAATTCCTTATTATGACTATGCACTTGATCTAATTCTAGATGTTGAATCCTCACTTGGTATGTTCATGTTAAAAGATTTATTATTGTTATAACAAGTGTTTCTTGAAGTTTATGATTCAGTTCATATGCCTAAAAGTTTGAATCTGTTGTTTTCAAGATTTATGACTATTGTTCTAAAAATTAAAGTTTTCCTCGAGTTAACCAATTAATGTTTAGGCCACAGTATTTTTCCAGGTGTAGTCCTACAAGAACAATTGAAAG